TCGGTCTCACCGAAATGAGCGATCGGTCCCACCGAGTTCGCAATGCAAACTCCATGTTTCCTTTTCATAACGTTTTGGCCTAGCCAAAATGAGCGATCGGTCCCACCGAATTTTCCTGACCAACTCTTTGTTTGCCTATTACTGAAATCGGTCCCACCGAGTTCATGTGATCGGTCTCACCGAGATCAAGTTATGCCCCAACCTAGCACATCGGTCCCGCCGAGTTGATCATGTCGGTCCCACCGAAAAGCCTAACGTTCACTGAATCGGTCTGACCGAGTTTCACCATTAGGTCTCACCGAGTTTGGGAATCTGTGTGTAACGGATAGATTTTGTGTGGAGGCTATATATACCCCTCCACCCACTCTTCATTCGTGGAGAGATCCATCAGAACGTGCCTACACTTCCAGCATTCATTTTCCGAGAGAGAACCACCTGCTCATGTGTTGAGACCAAGACATTCCAATCCAAGCGCAAGAATCTTGATCTCTAGCCTTCCCCAAGTTGCTCTCCACTCAAATCATCTTTCCACCATAGCCAAATCTATGTGAGAGAGTTGAGTGTTGGGGAGACTATCATTTGAAGCACAATAGCAAGGGGTTCATCATCAACACAGCATCTATTACCTTTTGGAGAGTGGTGTCTCCTAGATTGGTTAGGTGTCACTTGGGAGCCTCCGTCAAGATTGTAGAGTTGAACCAAGGAGTTTGTAAGGGCAAGGAGATCGCCTAGTTCGTGAAGATCTACCCAAGTGAGGCAAGTCCTTCATGGGCGATGACCATGGTAGGATAGACAAGGTTGCTTCTTTATGGACCCTTCATGGGTGGATCCCCTCGTGCAGCCGTTACCCATCGTTGGTTGAAGTCTCCATCAATGTGGATCTACGATAGCACCACCTGTCGGAACCACACCAAAAATCTCCATGTTTACATTGCATTTGCTCCCTCCAAACTCCTCCCCTTTACCTTCATATGCAATGATTTACATTCCGTTGCTATACTCTTAGAATTGCATGTGTAGGTTGATTGCTTGACTAGTGCTAAGTTGCTAAAATCTTCCAAGACTTCAAATTGGGAAAAGGCTAGATTTTTATTTGGTCAAGTAGTCTAATCACCTCCCCTCTAGACATACTTTCGATCATACACCATGTCTGTACATGCTAGGCTCGTCAAGTTTAACCCGAGTATTCCGCATGTGCAAAACTGGCTTGCACCCATTGCATGTGAACGTAGAGCTTATTACACCTGATCATCACGTGGTGTCTCAGCACGAAGAACTTTCACAACGGTGCATACTCGGGGAGAACACTTATACCTTGAAATTTTAGTTAAGGTATTATCTTATAATGCTACCGCCGTACTAAGCAAAATAAGATCCATAAAGATAAACATCACATGCAGTCAAAATATGTGACATGATATGGCCATCATCATTTGTGCTTTTGATGTCCATCAGCAAAGCAACGTCATGATTTCCATTGTCACCGGCTCGACACCTGTCGTGGTCGTCTCGCCAGCTATTGCTTCTACAACTATCGCTACCTCTTCGTGATAAAGTAAAGCAAGTACATGGCATTTGCATTTCATACAATAAAGCGACAACCATAAGGCTCCTGCCAGTTGTCGATAACTTTTAAAAAACATTATCATCTCATACAATAATGTATATCACAGCATGTCTTGACCATATCACATCACAGCATGCCCTGCAAAAAAAAGTTAGACGTCCTCTACTTTGTTGTTGCAAGTTTTACGTGGCTGCTACGGGCTTCTAGCAAGAACCGTTCATACCTACGGCACAGAACTACAACGATGATTTATCAAGTTTGTTGTTTTAACCTTCACCAAGGACTGATCGCAGTCAAATCTGATTCAACTAAAGTTGGAGAAATAGACACCTGCCAGCCACCTTTATGCAAAACTAGTTGCATGTCTATTGGTGGAACCGGTCTCATGAACGTGGTCATGTAAGGTTGGTCCGGGCCGCTTCATCCAACAATACCGCCGAATAAAAATAAGACATTGGTGGTAAGCAGTATGACGATCACCGCCCACAACTCTTTGTGTTCTACTCATGCATATCATCTACGCATAGACCTGGCTCAGATGCCACTGTTGGGAAACGTAGCATGTAATTTCAAAAAAATTCCTACGCTCACACAAGATCTATCTAGGAGATGCATAGCAACGATAAGGGGAGAATGTGTCAACGTACCCTCATAGACCAAAAGCGGAAGCGTTTACTTAACGTGGTTGATGTATTCGAACTTCTTCTCATTGAACCGATCAAGTACCGAACGTACGGCACCTCCGAGTTCTGCACACGTTCAGTGCGATGACATCCCTCGAGCTCTTGATCCAGTAGAGTGTCGACGAAGTAGATGAGTTTCGTCAGCACGACCACGTGGTGACGGTGATGGCTAAGTGATCCGCACAAGGCTTCGCCTAGGCACCGTGAGAATATGACCGGAGGCGTAAACTGTGGAGGGGCGCGCTGCACACGGCTAGGAACAATTGATGTGTGTTCTAGGCGCCCCCTCCCCACGTATATAAAGGAGGGAGGGGGAGCCAGCCCTAGGAGCGCCAAAGTAGGAGGAATCCTACTTGGGCTCCTAGTTGGATTTGTCCCCCCTTTCCTTTTATCGGAGGGGGAAAGAGGGGAAAATAGAGACGGGGAGAAGGATAGAGGGGGGCGCCGCCCCCTCCCCTAATCCTATTCAGCCTCCTTCCTTGGAGGGGGGCGCCACCCTTTGTGGGCTGGTGTGCCTCCCTCCTATGGCCCATATGTCCCATATCTTCCCCCGGGGGGTTCCAGTAACCCCCCCCCCCCTCGGTACTCTGATATGTACCTGATACATTCAGAACACTTCTGGTGTCTGAATACTATCATCCAATATATCAATCTTTACCTCTCAACCATTTCGAGACTCCTCGTCATGTATGTGATCTCATCCGGGACTCCGAACAATATCCGGTCACCAAATCACATAACTCATATAATACAATCGTCATCGAACGTTAAGCGTGCGGACCCTATGGGTTCGAGAACTATGTAGACATCACCAAGACACCTCTCCGGTCAATAACCAATAGCGAAACCTGGATGCTCATATTGGATCCTACATATTCTACGAAGATCTTTATCAGTCGAACAGTTATGACAACATACGTTATTCCCTTTGTCATCGGTATGTTACTTGCTCGAGATCCGATCGTCGGTATCTTCATACCTAGTTCAATCTCGTTACTGGAAAGTCTCTTTACTCATTCCGTAATGCATCATCCCGTAACTAACTCATTAGTCACATTGCTTGCAAGGCTTCTTATGATGTGCATTACCGGGAGGGCCCAGAAATACCTCTCTGATACTCGGAGTGACAAATCCTAATCTTGATCTATGCCAACCCAACAAACACCTTCGGAGATACCTGTAGAGCATCTTTATAATCACCCATTAGATTGTGACGTTTGATAGCACACAAGGCATTCCTCCGGTATCCGGGAGTTGCATAATCTCATAGTCAGAGGAATATGTATTTGACATGAAGAAAGCAGTAGCAATAAAACTGAATGATCATTATGCTAAGCTAACGGATGGGTCTTGTCCATCACATCATTCTCCTAATGACGTGATCACGTTCATCAAATGACAACACATGTCTATGGCTAGGAAACTTAACCGTCTTTGATCAACGAGCTAGTCAAGTAGAGGCATACTAGGGACACGGTGTTTTTTCTATGTATTCACACATGTATCAAGTTTTCGGTTAATATAATTCTAGCATGAATAATAAACATTTATCATGAATAAGGAAATATAAAATAACAACTTTATTATTGCCTCTAGGACATATTTCCTTCAAACCTTCCTCCCAAAGTTCTGATATGGTGTAGATAGGTAGATTTGCCATGTATGGTTGTGGATCCACGGGCTGCTGGAGACAATTTTTGATTGATGATAGATTAGTTTTTATGGCACTGGATCACATGAGTGCATACTAAGAAACAAAGAAGATGTGATTGAATCACCACTTGCCGAACTCGGTGGGGTTGCGGTTGGTAAAAAGAAATATAGAATCATGGGAAGATCCTTCAATTGGTGGGGCCATGGGAGGGAGATAAATGACTTACAAACTCCCCTTTAATAGTAGAGATAACTACAGAATTACTTAAGCACACAAGCTCGTCGTGGGTTTCCGTGGGTTTTGTGATATAATCAATTGTTCCAAAGTTCACTTGCCATGCTTCGAAGCCGAGACGAATAACTGTCTGATCGCTTCCAGCGGAGACACGTCCCAACTCTCTGTGTGCCTAACGACCTGAAACGTAGTGCAACCTTCGAAATCTGACTGATAGTGTGAAATAAGGGATGGATGAATGAGTTTACATGGTTTATTTTATCTCCCTTAATTACTACCTTATATTCTTCATCTAAATCGTATGTTGTATTCCCTCTTATGGCGATGAGGGGCCTCCACGGGAGCTTCAAATACGTCCTGAAAGTAGTGTAGAAACATTAGTCTCAAAAAGCCAAAGGGAAAAAACAACGGTAAACAACGGTCATGATCAGAAGAAACAAAGACATATCTAGAATGTATTCAGTAATGGATCATAATGTGATGTCGATGAGGCACCTTAATGTCCATGTTGCTATGATAAACTTTGTGTCGACCCTCAAACCCTGCATTCATGATTTTCAAGAGTGCAGAGAGTAGCGAAAAAGCATGTGCTAAACAAACTTTGGTGTAAGCCACATACCATGAGAAACTTCACAAATGCCAACATTAACCAAACAAGAAGATGGTTTTATGTTTACAGTTTAGCACAAATGACAGGTACTTCAAAAACGAGACACATATCTGGTACATCACAATTCCTTTTGCAGTTTAGTAACAGAAAATGTACAATTTAATTAGGCAAAGCAAAACTGCATGGGAAGGCAAAAAAAGCTTACCTTGTCTATATTTTCAAGTTGGAGCGAAGGGCTGTCGAAGAAGGGCACTAACAAATCCAGATTCTGGGAGTATCTCTAGACCTTCCTACGGAGTACAATGGTATACGAAAGTTAGTTCTTGGCGGATAAGGATGCATCGATCTAGGTACTATTTTAGTATTATTTGCATTTGATGCGTACCACGGAACTTTATCGTCGGGTCTTCAAACAAGCAATCTTCAGCATATATGCCCAAAGTGAAGTTCCCTGAAATCGATGCAGTCCTGAGCACATCGGCCACTCAAATGACACAAAAATCGAAAGACAATTGCTCTGAATGTGCAGATTAACTTCCTTCAGTTTCCTTTGACCGTCACACGCGTTGAGTAGAAGAAAATCTGCTATGCAAATCATCAATGTCCTGATGTCCGTACCGCAAATCACATACCAGTAAGGAAATAAGCACGCCGGTAGTCGGCTTCAAGAACAGCCACCACTTCCTCGACGCTGCGAGGCGACTCCAACTCTGCGTCGACGGCTTCGACAGCTTGCCTTGGCTTCTTGGGAGAGAGGGCCCTGAGGAGCTCAGTGGCGGCGCTGACCGCCGCCCTGACGACCGGCGGTGCGTCGTCATCGCCGCTTCCGGGAGAGCCGGAGCCGGAGCCGCATCTGACGCCGAGGAGGAGGCGATGGCTCTGCAGGAAGACAGAGAGGAGGAGGGGAGGATACAACCAGGAGGGAATCAAACAAAGGATGCAGAACGAGTGCTTGAGAGAGATTGAGCGCTGATCACCTTGGCGCCGGAGAGGCGAGGGGAGGGAAGGGGGAACGGCCTGGCAGTTAGGCTTGGCGCCATTAGCGGTTTGCCTCCATTCCATGGGATCACGAGGTTGCCATCGTCGCATGACCACATCCGATTGTGTGCGGCCTTCCAAGTGACACGCCACTTGGCATTCTTTGCTCTGTTGTCTCCGTCAGTGTTCCATTTCCTGGTAAGCAGCCGCGCCGCACACTCTTTTTGAGATATAACCACTGAAAAAAATAGAGCTATAGTGTGTAGATAATTGTCTCGCTAAATTGATCAGTGTATAATATCTCGCTAATAACACGCTACAGCGCGCTATAACACGCTAATAGTATATTTTTAAGGGCGGCACTATTTTCTATAGTGCGCTATTCTTTTCATTGGATATAACACAAAAAACCTCATGGGAACCACCCAATGTTTCACTGCCTAGGCTATGTTCTCCACGTCCTACTTCTCGCTCCGGTTCCCAGCCTCTTACCTGAACTCTAGTGATCAAAAAACTGTCTGTAGAAGAGTTAGGTCATGTTCAGAGTAGCGTGTTCTACTCATCAACAAAATATGAGTTAATTAAGGTAGTTTCCTAATATTATGACAGTCATGACACGATTTGAACTTCATTTCAAACACCATGACACTCACAAGTTCGCACATACGAGTAGTAGTGAACCTCATTAAGCAACATGAAGTCACATAGGTCAATAATTCAACAACTCATATGACATCACAAAACAGTTCAACAAAAGCATCATCAAAGTTCAAAGGAATCACTTCTCTACTATACTTCCCCTTGAACGAGTCAAGCCACCGCTTAGAGCATCTATAGGTGGACTCCTCAAACGCTCCCGTCCGGCGGACGACCCGGTTAGTGACCGGTCACAAAAACTCGATCCAGCTACACCCCTCATACGGTTCCTATACGTCCGGGCTGACCGGCTACACCCCTCATACAGGCCCTATACGTCCGGACTGACCGGCATCCATCATATCCAGCCCATATCTGGGGCGGATATTGGGAGGCTCGGATGTGTCCGCCACGTCGGACCAGCCCACTGTGGCCCACACCATCCCCATCCATGTCCCCACAAATACCCGAAGTCAGACGACCAACCCCTAGTCCACCTCTCCGCTCCACTTCACTTCCATCTCCTCCCCTTCCTCTCCCCGCCCTATCCCATCCCCTCCGCCATGGTCAGGAATGGATCCGGCAGCGATTCTGACTCCATCGACTTGGAGAAGCTTGTTGCGGACTCCTTGAGCTTGTCTATGCCAAACAATGAGGAGCTAGCGCTCCGCATTGCCCTTCATCGGTCACGGATGGACCGGGGTCGGAGCTCCTCATCCACGGCATCGACAAAGGCCCGGGTGGGCAACTGCAGCTCCGCGGCGCCTTACGGCCGCACGACGCGGTCCATGCCAGTGGCACCCAACACTGCCAGCAGCTGCTCCTCCCGAGCACTGCTAGGTGCTCGTGCCTGCAAGGCAGCCGGAGAGGCCACGTGTATCGACACATAAGGAAGAGGGCAGTGGAGGTAGCTGCCAGCCGCTCCAAGTGCAGGCCTTGCAGATCCACGCCGGAGCTGCTGCGCCCTCCCCCCTTTCCCGTCAGCGACGACGAAGAGGCCCTCTGCGATGCCATCCGCGGCTTCTACACATACGTGGAGACGGACGCCCGCCAACATCGCCGCAAAAATGCGGCGACGCTACGCATAGGGCTCGAGGAGTCCCAGCATTTGGCGATGCAAAAGGCATTGGCAGCGGAGAGAGCAACATGGCTCGCAGCAGAGCAGAACCACGCCGTCTGGCGCATGGCGGGGATCATCGGCTCCTCCTTCTCGGACAACGACATGATGAATGACGATGCTCCGCCTGCCGCCAACACCTACACCGAGGACAGCCCGAGACCCCCATGGGAGAGTGTCGGGTGAGGAGGGGGTGAAATACTACCCCCCCCCCCCCTCTCTCTCTCTTAATTTAAAGCTTTATCTATTGCTAGTTAAGTGATAAACTCTTTCAGGCGCTTTTGGATCAGATTGTAGTAACTTTTAATCCCGTGTCTATGTTGGATTGATATGTTTATATGTTCTATCTATGTTCGATTGCTATGTTCATGTGCTCTATGATGATCTACGTAGTTTGCATGGGTTTGTGCAGATTTTGGGCAAACAAATGGGGGGTGCGGTTGTAAAGTGGGACTTATCGGGTCTGCCCGGTCTTATACTCTCCAATTGTGCGTGCTAATCAGCCAAGGTATCAATCATCTACCTTTGTACCACGTGGGGACGTCCCAAGGTGAAGGCCCAACCTCGCGGACGACGGTGGGTGCACTAGACGAGGACATCTTTGCATCGGCATCGTCGATGGCAGTGTTCACGTCCTTGTCGTTGGATGAGGATATCTGTCTGGGTCATCATTGGAGGACTTATTCACTTTGGTGAGGAGATGAACATGGCCGCATTAAAGTGCTGCTCCATGTAATCACCTACCATTCAATTTGCATACCAAATTGACATAGCAAAATTATATCGACAATGGCATAGAAAATGGACATACTAAATTGGCATCCGCATTGATATAACACGATTTACAAAACATCAACAAATTGATATCTAAAAATTGCCATTCAAACAAATAAAAAAAATTACCTTCCATGATGACGGTGGTGGCGGGGAGGCGCGGGATGGAAACTGGCGTGGCAGCGCGTCTTAGCGAGATGACATCGGGCGTAGGGCAACATTATCGGGTGGTGCTCACTACACCATAACATTGATGTAAGGACAAAAAAAACTGCCGGGAGAAGTCTCTTTAAAGGGCAGATAAACTGTCAGGACAATGATTCTCCTGTCAAATAGAACCTCCACGAGAATGGCTGCCGAGGATTACTTGTCCCGACAGATAAACTTCTCCTGGCAGTTATTCTGCCATGGTCCGGAGGGGGGGGGGGCTAGGATGGTGAGGAGGGTTCAATTTGGGGCAGAACTAGTGGAGGCGGTGCCTATAATTTTTTCTGCGAACATTTTCAGTCCCTCGCACGCTCTCTTGCGTCAGCGTGTTTCGGCCAAATTGTTTCAGTTTCGCGCCACGGGGGCAATTTCGCTCGGGTGGGCCATGCTCGAATTCTCCCGGCAGTTTATCTACCATTGAGTACTTCTACCGGCAGTAAAATAATCCTTGTCAAATGATTTTCCTTTAATCTAGTATTTCTCTCGGCAATTAACTGCCCCTAATTAAGTGTTGTGGTGTAGTGGTTTGCAGGTTGGCAAGAGGAGCAACATGCTCACGGATGTAGTGGGCTGCATCCACGGTGATGCACGAAGGACGCCGAGATGGTAGAAGTGTGGAGTGAGTAGGAATGAGTATCACGCGGTGGACGTCGTTGTGGGCTGTGGGGCGAGAAGCATGAAGAGGAAGAGGTAGGCGCACTTGAAACAATATGCCAAGCGAGCATCACCAAGGACAAATTGATGTCCAATAACTTTTCGCCCTACCCTTGCGTCGCTCCGCTCGGTGCGACTTGGGAGGCAATGAACCCTAGCCACCATGTTCCCCACCCCTACTCCTCCCCCTTCGCCGCTAACATATGAAGTCTGCAACTTAGCTTGTGCGCCCACCAAGAACGAAGGCGGCGAGGATCTTGTTGCTCTATCTCTGAGCAGAGGGCTCCGGGTCCCAAGGCGGCAACCTCGGGCGGTGTGGCGAGTTGGCTCTGCGGCAAGCGAAGCTTGTTGGTGGTGCTCTCCCTCCTCCTCTGTCATGTGGACAGTGTCGTAGCGGGTGTAGGGCATAGGTCAAATCGATTGGCTCGTTCTTCTCCGTGCCAAATCATTTGGTTGCTCTCCTCCCTCCCACCACTGTCATCTCGCCAGATCTGGTCCTTGGCGGTCGCAGGTTGCAGGATTTGCTGAGGATGGTGCTATTGGAGGGGTGGTGGCGAACCGGGAGAATTCTTTGGCCATGCCGACGGCGGCACCTCCTGGTGCCGTCTCCATCCTCTAAGGCGTCGTCAAGGTATGTTTACCCCCTTCCTCCCATTCTCATGCCTAGGTGAAAACTCTAGTACTAGGTGGCAACAGCGTTTCGTGCATCATTACCTTCCTGAAGGTACCACCTTGGGTGAGCTGGTGGTGTGCAGGAGCGATGGGGTGTGGTTGTTAGGTGTGCGGATGCATCGTAGGTGGAGGTGGCGCCATGATCTTCTTTGTGGGGCAGTGTCTTCCCGCGGTTGTCTGCCTAACTAGTTGTTGTTTGCTCATGGGTTGGTCTGTGCCATGTCATGGGCGGGGTGGAGGTAGGGTTCTTTCCACCGTTGGCAGCAACACGACATGGGTGGCATGAACAAAATACTGATTTCATCGGTCTTGTCCTGTTATTTGTTTTGGTTGTCTTAGCTCCTCTGGTTGTATGTTCTTCATCAACCACACTCTATAACCACTAACAAATTTACACACATCTATTATAGATGTTCATTTTTAGAAAATGTATTAAAATAAAAGGTTCTAATTTTTTTTTGAAAATTTCAAGCTCCATGGACCCCGAAAGCGAAAAAGCCTCATTCCTTATAAAGCAAATAGTTTCACTACATAGGTCCTCTTTCTTAGCGCGTATAGAGGAGGACTTACTGGTCGCTGCCATTGTTTCTTGCTTTAAGCGAGAAGGAGACTGTCACCGCTAAGAACGAGACGGCACAGGTTGTGGTTCTTCTCCAGCATACGCTAGCTGCTGGAACCCACTGAGTTTGAGTCCGGAAAAGGGTTGGACTCTGCACATCGACCGACGCGACGCTATACAGAATGGAGCACGACGGGGATTCGAACCGTGGTCTCTTGGTTAGAGAGACTGCGTCAAGCCACTGGGCTTACTTTCGATTCATGACAATAGTAAGGCAAACACTACTTATAGAGAAAAAGAGCCGGGTTTTCTTTTCTGTCTTTTTTTGCTTTTTTGCTTTCTTTTTTTTTCTTCTCCGGATTTTTTCATTTGTTTCTTCATTTTTTTATTTTATTTTTCCTTTGGTTTATTTTGTTTATTTTTGTTTTTTTTTCATTTATTCATTCTTATATACGTGATCAACATTTTTAAAATACTTGTTCAACATTTTCCAAATACCT